CTATTCAATAGCTATGAGGGAACATTGCCCAAGTTTTCTATGTCTTGGACCCCTCATCAATATAACTTGGGGAAGAACACAAATGTATAGGCTAGTGTTAAGCATGAGAACTTGTGTAGTGTAATTTCCCCTATGCAACTCAGTGACTTGCAGCATATATATATATATATATATAAAAGTATACCCAATGCAGTCAATTTAGAAAATGCCCCTTTTTGTCCCTGTGCTCTCATCTCTAATAAGGAGGGCCACATCAGCTTCAGCCATTGTGAGGCTCTCTTGCCATCAAGCATTGAGTGGTTCATGGTCCCTGTAGGGATACACACAGCAAAATCATGAAGGGCTAGGATAAAGACCAAAAAATTGCAGAAGAAAAGGTTGGATCCACAGCGCCACCTAGCCTAATGTGTGCTGGGCTGCTCCACCTCACTGGCTCATCTTCCTCTGTTTTCTTTCTCTTCCCCCCACCCCCTTTTTAAGTATAATTACTGGAGCTTATGTTTCACAGTTAATGCTGTCAAGCTTTTAAAACTAATTGGTCTTTTATAGAAAATTTAACTGAAAATTAACACATCTTTTAATAACATTGCCTTAAATTTAATGGCACTCTGCCTTTCGTCTATAATTGCACTAAAATTGTCATTTTCCATGTCATATCTGCCATTTTTTATATTTGCTAGTTTTCATGGTGTGGGTTTTTATTTTTAGTATCTTTCTTTCATGAGCAATGAGGAATATTTCAATTATTTTCTCCTGGATCTGCCTTGCCTGGTGCAGCAGCAAGGGGTATGTTCTTGGGTCCAGCACAACATCCCACTGTTTGCTGCTCAGACACAACACTGCTGGTACTCCATCTGCCTTGGATGTGCCTGTGGACTGTCTTTCTGCTTGTGAAAAGGAGAAATGTGGGCTCTTGGATGGAGTGGAAGAGATGAGTCACGAGCAGTAAATTACTGGCCTCTTGGAATGACACTGGATTAACCTGGGCTGAGAGCTCAGCCTTCAACTTAAGGCTCACCTAGGGTTTGGCCCTTCAGAAAGTTACAGACTAGGCAGAAAAGCAGGTGGGCCCATGATTCAGAGGAGCACATTCTCCAGTCTTGGAAAAAAAAACCTAGTTATTTCTGACACTGAGGCTAGCTCATATCAGCCATGAAAACACAGAAACATCCCTCCTGCAGATTTCTGACTCATCTATCCATGTAGCTCCTGAGTCTTGTATGTCTAAAATATGTGTGCATGCATGTGTTCTGGAGAAAGAGTGAGTAAACAGACACATTCATACATATGTATGTACATTTATTTATCAAATGCAATGTTCTGTTGTCACAGGTGCATGCTTGTTGAAAGACCTTCATATTCCTTTGTCCTTATCCAATTGCCACAAAGGCACAAGCAGCTGTTCACATCACACCTCGTCTCAACTGATTCCCAGACAGTTGAGAAAACTAAACTGATTCTGGTAGTGATTCAGAACCAGAAATGTCAGATCTCCTTGATGATCCTGTGCCACGCATGCCTAAAACTTTGTTTTTCTTATTTGTCATTATTCATCATTCTTCTACAGTTTTTACCTCTAGATCATCCAAGCAGAAATAGAATGTAAATAGGAGATCATGGCCCATGGTTCTCTTCTCTATCCTGATTCTGTAGCATGTTTGTCATTTAATAGTCATCGAGGAAATGTACTGATTAACACTATATAATACAGCTTTTGAGAACTGGTTATATGCTAAATACTTCATGATCACTTTATAAGCATGTCCATAGTCTCAAAGGACAAGTTATGGGTCATGTGCGATTATTATCCCATTTTAAAGGTGACACAAATAAACCCTAGAGAGATTCAGGGTCCATAGCCAGTAAACTAGGGTAACTAGCCAGCCAAAGTAGTCCTATCTTCTTTTACCAGGTGTCTAGTTGGAAGTGAAATTGGGATTGGGGTTTGGAAGAGGCGAAACTTGGTGAAAAAAAGAAAAACAAATATGGAAGATTCATGCACAGCTCTAAAAACAGACAGGCCGCCTTTTATTGTGGGTATTTAAGTGTGTATGCATGTGTGTGTGTGTGTGTGTGTGTGTGTGTGTGTGTGTGTGCTTGTGTGTGTGTGTGCGTGCGTATGAGGGGGGCCAATCTAGGCTCATTCAAAACTTCATTTCTCAATTGAACCCCTCCTCTAAGAGGAAGGATAATTATTCCTCCTACATTGGTTTTCTGTTGTTGGCTGAAGCCACAAGACTGTGTCTGACACAGCTCTAACAATTCCAAAAAAGCCAATGAAGAATCAAGACAGTATTCTTTTAGTAAAGTAGTAAGCCAGGAAGAGTTGAGTAATGAGCAACATTATTCAGAGAACACTGATTCCTTGAATAAGCAGCAACTTGGGGAGCAGTACTAGATAAGGGGGGTCACTGACATCCAGAGTGATTTGCGTAGGTATGATGGTGCCCATAGATGGATGCTGGCATTGACTCTCCCCTCTGCTCCTGCTGTTTGGAGGAGCCTCATTTTACTACTTCCTAATTAACTACCTTGGTATGTAACTGATATAAATTTCTCACAAATCAAGTTTGGGGTGAAATAGGAAGAAATCACAAGTAGTACTTTGTCAAAAGGTCTGGATCTAATTGGATCGGTTGAGGTAAACCTCAATTGGAGGTTTGTCATCCCAAACAACAGAGCAAGGTCTGGAATGATTGGGCTTGAATTTTGATTGATGACTTGAAAAGGCACTGTCAGTAGGCCTGTTAATATGCTTTGTCCCAATGTTTAAATCTGGTTTATTCACTCTTATGTTTTAAATTTTGGACTGTATCACTTAAGTGTGTCACATAGTTCCAGGCTATCAATAACTAATGCAGCTGCTGATAAATATGAGGGACAGTGCTAGGTTCCTGGAGCCCTTTACTCTAGGCTAGAATGTAGAAGGAAGAAAGGCTGCTTTTAGGCTATGGCATTTACATACCCCAAGCCACTTAGGTATCAAAGGAGATTTGGGATAACCTTTGAAAATAATTGTTAGAAATCAGTTCATTTTGATTCCTCATCTGAGTTTCTGAGAATTCTCTAGTGAGGCTATCAACAGTTAGCTTTTCAACTCATACCCAGATATGTCCTGCCCCTATACTATCATGTGGCCTGCCTCCATGCTGTTAGTCAAGGGCCCCTCTGATTGTGTGGTAGTTAAAATTGCATCACTTAGAATTAGTACTGGCTTCATGGGTATTTGATCCATACAGGTGTACAGCTTCATTATTTCAAAATTCTCAGTAATTTATGAAAACACACACTTTAAAAATGATGTATCATCTGGTCCTACTTGGACCACATTGACTGTCTGAATGAAATAAATGTTATAAATTTAAGTTTTAAAAAACCCTTACAGCATTTTTTAGTTTGGGGAAAAACTCCATAAGTAGCTTACTTGTCTTATTAAGAGCAGAGTTCTGAAATCTCTGGAATTAGGAGCAGAATTAAAGTGACATTTCTAAAGATACAAGATCCAACTTCCTATGGAGAATTCAGTGCTTTGTTCAACATAATCATGTGCCCTCTATTGTTCTTTCCAGCCTCTTCAAGAGTTTGTATAAACTGAGCCAGTATTACCAGCAGCCCTAAGGTCAGTCATTCCAAGAAACCAAACCGAGAGGGAGATGCATGTTATTTCATAATTATCTTTAAAACCATAATTCTGATATTTCACTAAGATATGCCTATATTTGCACCATATTCAATAATATAGAATAATCTAAATTTGTCTCTAAAAGCTCCATGGCTTCATCTTTCCCCACAGTAGTCCTTCTGGGATTAGCTTTAATGAATATATGGTAATAATCTATAATTAGCATATCAATGTTTAACATAGTTAAGAGAACAACCTTCTTAAGCAATTTGAGAAATATATGTATGGGGAAGCACCTTCTAAGATGTATTCACAGTTTAATGTGCTCAATAAACTTCTGTTTCATGGGTTCTACAAAGGTCAGCTTTTACCCAGGCCACATTTCTATTTTCACAAATTGTAAGTCTAACTATTGCAAAATGAAGTGCATCTTCTATAAATAAAGATACCATTGGGAACGATTCCCAGTACCTGTTGTGGCCCAATCTAAATGGCTGCTGTTGTCTATTGTGGTAAGTGATGATGCTACTAGGCTGGTATCTACTCTCTTAATTGTTACTTATTTGGGAAGGGTCACAAAAATGGGAAAACAAATAGCTTGACCACTTAATACACATCAAGTTACTAAACAAAACAGAACTACTTTTGATGTCTCAGTCAATAGCGCCTTTTCTTTGCCACCCATCATTGTCCCTGCCCTTCAACAGAGAAGAGTCCCTTGACTTGTCCTCACCCAAGGCCTACTCTTTTAGTGGCAGACAAAGACTTCAGTGTCACCCTTGGCACACTGTCCTTTTTACCTTCGGTTCTCATTCAGGCTATTGTCAAATGTTTCTGATTTTACCAGTCCTCGTCACACCTTGCCTGCATCACTACTTCCCTCCAGCTAGACAAGATGCTTCTTCCAAAGACATTGACCCCGAACCTTGCCATTCTGAACCATATCCACCTGGCAGACAAGGCAGCTGCTTTCAGATATGAACCTGATCATTCTTTCTCATTAATACAAAGACTCCAACCATGAAAATCGTTTTCAGTGTCTTCCCTGTCCCTTTCCTCTTTGTGGTTCAGCTTTCCTTGTCTTCCTTGAGAGAGCCTCACATCTTGGTATGAAATATTTATTTCCTTAAGGACTGCTTCTCTTATCCTCCAAACCAGGTCATCATTTCCCTGTCTTCCCTGCACTCTGAGGAATTTATAATCAATATTTACTTGGATGATTGATAAATATTTGTATCCTTTCCAGAGAGAAAAGTTCATGAACTTCTTTGATTTTCCATGCACAGCTCAAGCTCCTGCCAGTGTCTCCTACTTTGGAGATATTACAAAGGTGTGTATTCCACCGATTGAGTAGAGAGAAACAAGTTAGACAACTCACCGCACTCATGAGTGAGTCCAGGACGCTGACGGCAAATGCTGTCCCACATGCAAAGGGCTGTGTGAGGTACAGCTCTGTGTCAGGGTCATCGTCATCGTCTTGGTCCAAAAACTGAACATTAGTATCATTCACTAGAAAAGGCATAAAATAAGAATTAGCAGTGACAATTATGCATGCATTAGGGAAGCCAGAAAGATACTGACTGGCTTACAGACACTGAAGTTACTACAAAAGAAACAAGCATGGTAAAGTTGTTTATGGATCTTGAGGTTGGCGAGCAGTGGAAATCAATGATCTGCTCCTACAGTACTGTTTTAACTTCTAAGACTTGGAGAGCAATGAGGTCAAGCAGGCTTCATTCATGGCAACTGCTAAGGACTGGCAAGTTGATGACACTGACCAGTCCTTGTTACAGTTTTAGAATCATGGCCAAGAAACACCCTAGGGCATTTTTTGGTAGCCAAGTCCTTTGAGAGATGAACATAATTCAGTGATGAGTAGCCATGCTGAAATGGTAAAGTTAGCCACAAAGAAAAGAAACCAACTTATTCAGAAGGAAAAGCATGGACCAGAAACACAGCAAAGGCAAATGGCAAGGAATTTACCCACAGGCAGGACCCTTAGCTAGCTCCAAGGATGGGCCTGGGTAGTACCTGGTGTCCCTCATTCTGAACCTAAGCTCATACCCAATATGTCCTACTGAACACTCAGGAATGGCTCCTGGTTGCTTCTGGCTGTTATCCAACTTTCTCTGCAAGGATCCACACACTCTTTCCCTCCTAAACAGCTCTGTCTTCCCTGTGTTCCAGAAGACATGGCCAGGGTAAGATGCCTTCCTTCTCATTGTCATCTAAGCAGCCCCTAAGGAATTCCTCCTGCCTAAACCCACAGATTAATGGGTTGTGTCCTTCAGATGCCTCTAACTGATAAAAAATTAAATGAGAAGTGAGTTTCTATTCCTATCTTGGCCTCAGAAATGATCAATTTAGCAGAGCGAGTAATAGGGTGAAGTGTGGGGAGCTGGGGATAGGCACACTTGAGATTTCTGGAATAATTAAGGTGGTTTTAGGAAGAGAACAGATGAGGTTTCCTAGCTCTGATGTCTTTCTGAATCTATCTGCAGCTAATTTTCTTTCTTAAAATTATTGTTTTAATTTTTTAAAGAAACTTTCTTGACAATTTTCCTTAAAAAAAAAAAAAAAAAGCAAACAAACCCCAAAACCTTGTTTATTGCATGAATCCAGAAAAATGATAATAGCATAAAAGGCTAGGTGTGGAATTATTTTTAAATGACACCATCCCCTTCTCCCAGAGAATAACTCTAATGGAGGGAAATCTTTGCTGTGATATTTCCAAATTTGATCACATTTGTGTCCCAGTTATCTCAGTGGCAAGTGAATTGCAGGATAGAGGGTGAAAGTCACAAGTCTGGTTTCGTCATCAACTTCTTTGGCAAGGCATTTCATGATCCTACAGCTAAGTCACCCTCGCTGTAAAATGGGGGAAATTATGTAGTCTCCAATGAGGTAGCTCAGAGACTCCTGGGAGACCAGGCTTGGTGAGTTTGGGCAAGGACCCAGGGCATGCTATGTACTAGATAAATCGAGGTTGATACCACAATTGTCTATCTATTACATTATGGAAATGTACAGCCTCTCTCTACTCCTCTTAGAAACACTAGAAGTTTATTTAAGAAATCTCCAAATGGTTCTATTAAATTGAATTATGATAGGTCCTAAACTGTCTAATACCTATTTCATAAAAGTATCTCAATATGTCCTGAACTGTAGCCTTACTCCATGTAGAAATTGTATAACCCACTCTTGTAATAAGTAGCTTGGGCTCAGCCAATCACAAGTGGCCAAGTATTCAAACACACACATACACACACACACGCACACACACACACATGCACAAACTCACACATGCACACACACACACACACACACACACACACACACACACACACCCTGCTCTCATAGTGGGCCAAATATGAGGAACCATTTTGGTTTAGGCCTCTGTCGTACTCAGGAATTATAGATGAAGTGGATGGAGCTTTCTAAAGCAGGCACTGAAGAGATGGCTTGGTGACCAAGAGCACTTGCTGTTCTTGCAGAGTACTTGCGTTAGCTTCCTGGCACACACACCTTAGTCCACCTGTAACTGCTCCAGGGAGGGAACCCAACACTCTTCTGTTCACTGCATGCACATGAAGTACATACTTTTATGCAGGCAGACATGCATATACATGAAAGAGAAATAAATACTTAGGTTTTTAAGTTTTTAAAATCATGTTGAAATTTTGCCCTACCTTTTCCTCTCTGTCTCTTCCTCCTCCTTCCTCCTCTCTCTATCTCTCTACCTCTACCTCCTCTCTCTCCCCCTTTCCATCTCTCTCCCTCCTCTCTCTGTCTCTCATTATCTCTCCCTCCTCTCTCTCTCTCTCTCTCCTTGCTACCTCCCTCTCTCTCTCTCTCTCTCTCTCTGAACATTGTCTCATATATCCTAGGATGTCTTCAAACTCACAATGTAGTGGAAGTTTAGAATGAACTTCTGATCCTTCTCTACCTTTGCAGTATAGGGATTATGGGTATGGACCACCACACCCAATTGTAAAGTGCTGGGGATTGAACCCAGGGCTTTACTGATGTTAAGCAAGTACTCTACCAACTCAGCCAAATCCTATGTCTATGATTTTCTCTTTTGATATTCTAAAAGTATGTTGTGAGGGTCACAGTATTTCTGCTCTGGGAATCAGAAAGGGTAAGCTAAGAGAGCACACACATAAGTTAGAATATGCTCTTATTTATTCACAACATCAGCTGATAGTGTTTGCACCATCATTCCTACTGGAGTGATATCCCTTCCCTCTTTACAAAGAGATGAAGAATAAATGGTTAAATGGTGCTACATTATTAGTACCCAAGTAGGGGAAACAACTCTGGACTTGAGTGATCTAAGGATGTAGGCTATTGGTAAGTGTCAAGGTAAGAGCAAGTTTCTGTGCAAAGCTTGCCTGTTGTTCTGAGATGCCCAGTCTTAGGAAGATAACAGCAGGCATCCCTTATGCCTATTTCCCATAATAGAAACTACATGGGTAGTAAGAGGTGACAAAGACATTGGTCCACAATGCATGTGATCCAATACAATTGGGAATAGTGAGTTAAGCAGGTACAAACAAACTTTATGAAAACTTCAGGAGCCTTTGTCATGGAAGTCTTAAAATGGGTTTGGCCTTGGTTTCCTCTGGGCCTTTGTGTGTGTTCATGTATAGGAACCTGTGGAAGGCAGACATCAATATCAGTTGTCCTCTTTAATCATTTTCTGTATTACTTTTTGAGAACAAGTTTCTCAACTGAATCTGGAGCTCACCAATTCAGCTAGACTGCTTGGACAGCAAGCCTCGAGGATCCTTCCATCTCTGTCCGCAAGGGTGGGAATTACAAGATATACATTGCCATGCTCAGCTTGGATGTGTATGCTGGGCATCTGCACTCAGATCCTCATGATTGCACAACAAACATACCTCAGGCCCATCTCTCCAGCCCTGTTCTTTGCATATTTTAAGGGAAATATGGCTGGATTAATATAACACAGCACACATTCAGGGAAGATGACAAATGGTATTTCTAGGGGTGAAGTGAAAGGAGGGGTGATATAAGGATAGGGGTGTGGCTACTAGAGAAATAGCCTTCGGAGAAGAAGGAAGAGGTGGCCTGAACTCTAAACATGAGGGAAAAAATCTGGTGTGGGAGAGTATTAGGGAACTTGCTAACCGAATTGCTGCTTTGTATTTGGAGCACCAAGCTTTATGCTTTCCTTTGTACACTAATCAAAATAGGGAGGCTCTACTTAGTTAATAGCACATGGATACCAAATGAAAAAGAAAGTCTTGGCATGGTACTTTTGGAAAGTTGCTGTAGGTATCTGTACTGGAGATGTTGATGAATTCCCCAAACTGTAGTCTGGGGCACATGAGCTTCCTTGATCTTTTATGGTCCTATGGTTCTAAGAAGAGCAATGGAGAAACCTAGGCTTTTAGCCAATAATGTTAAACATAAAGAAGACACCTCTCCTAGTGCTGGAAACAGAAAATAGTGTGGTACTCCTTGACCTGAGTGAATTTTTTCTGATAAATAGCTCTGTCTAACAACCATGCAGGGCTGCGTGGTGGACAATTTATTCCTTCATTTCTAGACACCTCACAAGCAAGATTACTAGGTTAAAAGCTTCCTTTCTTATTTTGAATTATATTTGGGGGGCCAAGAAAATGGAGTGTTCAATTCATCTGTGAGTCATGGGAAGGCAGGTGCTCCTTGCTCCTCCTCCCATGTCTCTTTGCTATGTCTATTTAGAAGATGAATCTCCAGTGCTGAGACCTGCTGCTGATCGGTACCTCTGTGGGTTATTAACCAAGTCATGGAGAACCATGGAAAGGCCTGACAAATGAAGGCATGACCACGGGCCTTCATCTTCCAGATAAATATACTGTGAATCTTCCACAGAGGGCTTTAGGCCAGCTGGGTGGGGGTCAGAGTATAGGGCCGCCAGCCTGTTCTGCACCCTTCTTGGAATCTGGCTTTAGTAAGAAAAGATCCCCTGGGAACCAGCTGCTTTTTATGGCTTCAGAAGCAGAACTTCTGAGAAAGGGCCTAGTTGGAGGGGGTGAGGGTGGGGGGGGTTGAAAAGGCAAATAAAGGCAGAATAAAGAAAAATAAACAGCTGGAGGGAAGGCACTGTCTAGGATTTCTTATCTTAAAAATTTTATATTTTTCCTTTGACTTCCTCTGAGAGCTGTGAAGACATGTCAGTCAAACTGACAGCATGTTGGAAGAGGAATATAGGGAGAAGGTGGGGGAGAGGGGGCACATGTGGGATTTAAAAGAGGGAGAGAGGTGTGGGCCACAGAACATGAATTAGAGCAGAGATGCTTTGGAAGCTACTGCCAGGTCAGATGGGTGTGATCAAAGGTTTACTGATGCTGTGTGGAGGAAAAAAAAATCATTAAGCAAAGGCCAAAACAAGACAGTCGATTCCAACCAGAGCCACAAATAAAATGCATTCAAAGCAGTGCCATGGGGTAGCCTTTCTGTTACAGCCAGCGAAATGAAGGGGAAAAAGCCAATGAGAGTTGGAAACACCAAGATCAGAACAAAAGAAAATACTGATGTCAAGAAGACGAGCACTTCTTACCCAACTCCGTTATCATTAGAATGTGGGTCCCACTGTTTTTTTCCTGATTGACTGATACCAAAGGCAACTTGCCTGGTTTAGCTAATTGGATATAGCATTTAAGGGTCAGGGAAAGGGAGTGGAAGAAAGTACAAGGGGGAAAAAAAGAAAGAAAAAGAAAGTGAGGGAACAATAGGGACACAGTCTCAAGCTAGCCACCTGGACAATAGAGTATCTGTATTGTGAGGGGGATGAGCCATTCAGTAGTTTCATACTTCACACAGGGTACCAGAGAATGGCATGGTCAGAAATGGGTTTTATTAGCTACAGATTATAGCATTCAAACCCATGCCCTTCATCCATATTTTGGCCATTTTTTGAAAATGACCTTTGGTGGGGGTCAAGATGGAGTTGCCACATAGTAGAGCAAACAAGCATTTGCCCCAGTTCTCACCAGGGATCCATTCTGGGATGGGATCGGCTTAGTCCTAAGGTTCTGAGCAGGGTTTCAACTATAGGAGCCTTTGAAACAGAGCACTCAGAAGAGGCACCTTCAGGAAAAAGCCACCAGAAGAACTGTGCCTCATTTCTCCCCCCTTCCCAAATGGATGCCCCAATATCAAAGCTCCTCATGCTCCTTTTAAAACAGTGGCCAGAAGAAATAAGGAAACTGTCTATTTCTCTCCTGGGAGAGGTAGAATAGTTTGTCCTTCAAATAATCTGCCATATCTCTATGCATACTTCACTTTTCCCTACCCCCCCCCAACCTATGATGTCCAAAGGATTAAAGAACAAGTCAACATACTCATCTTCTCCAAGGTCAAAAGCAAGACAAAAGTACCCACCCCTTGAGTTGACAATGACCCCCTACCGAGTTCTGTGATGATGGGGATGTTGACCCCTGTTGTGATGGATGGCTGGCGTAACATCCCATGCACTGGGCTGTTGTCTGGAGATGATCTGTCCATTCCAGGAGGTGTGAATCCTAGTGGGGAGAAATTCAGAGAAGTAGAAAAGCATATAGTACAAAACTCTCAAAATGCAATGTACACATTACTGACAGGTCACCAATTAACACAGGATAACCTCTGAGTTGTTTTTGTTTTGTTTTTTAAGGACATATAAGAACCATACTTGAAGCAATTCTAACTTACTCTGATACTTTCCTAAAAATCTAGACCATATCAGTATATATCCTATATAGTTCCCTGTCTCAAACCAAATAGTTACCACTGTATCTAGTTGCCCTTAGGTAGGAAGGACTATTTGACATGCAAAATGCTCTTGCCCATGAAAATGGAGCAAAGAAACACACATCACTTCTGGCATAACCTTTGTCTTATCCTTCTCTTCCAAATCCACATCTAATATGGAGACATGAGTCACTATGGAGATGGAGACAGACAGCAGTCTCAGACAGCTCCTCCATAAAATGTTATAAGTGAAAAACAATAATGGGCTCTTCCAAACAACTGAAGTGTTTTGTTTGTTGTTATCACAGCCTACTCAAACTTATTCTGACTATTCTGTTCAGCCAGCTGATTGCATTTCCTTCTGCTTGTGAGGAACTTAGGCCTAGGGCTTGACATGGTTCTGACTGGTGAGATGTGAGGGTAAATCTGCTTGGAAGCCTTCAGCAATTGTTCCTTGGTCTTAAAAAGAAACACATGAGAAGATACCTTGTTTGATCCCCTCCCCAAACATTGTGTCATATGTCTGCTGATAATAGAACTAGCCTTGCATTACACCTGGCACTATTAAGAAAGCATAGGATTTATGACGAAGGTAAGACATGTAATGTTAAGTTTAGTAAGGGTGAGAATCCCTTCCAGTCAAGCCCATTGAGTACCTTGGTAAGGATGCAGGCAAATACACATGAAGATGGGGAAGCTCTTTAAATTGCGCCTACATTTGTCAGAAATTCATTTTCCAAGTGGAGCACACAGCAACTGTAAGTTCAGTGCTATCATTTGCTTTGGTTTGTTTTTAATTTTTACTTTATTTAATTAAAGAAATAGCTTTGGTTATAAAGTCTTTACTACTTAGCATGGTTAGTCTGAACTCACTCAGTAGACCTGGCTGCCCTTGAACTCACAGAGATCTTCCTGCTTCTGCATTCTGAGTGCTAGGATTAAAAATATGTGCTGCTATGCCTGATTTTCTGGTTCCTCGTCTCTCTATGGGCTTACCAATAAATGAGGGATTTAAAGGGGCTTGCTTAATATCCAAATCAAAATTGCTAATTGATCATAGGACCACTTTTACAGTCAATACTTAATAATGGGACCAGGTTGGGCTGATTCTGGCATTTGGGAAATGTTTGATGCTCAGTAATTGGCTATCCAGTGGGAGGTTCACAAGCACAAAATGCAAAAGACTTTGAATCGAGCTTATGTAAATATCCTATCAAGTGCTATGCTTTCAGGAAGACAAAAGGTACCTATTCCCTGATTGTACTTTTTTTTTGTTTGTAGTATTATGACACCTCAAACAGACCAAGTTACATTCAATGAGTTAGTGTTCATTTTTCCTAAACTTGGAATGTGTCTCTTTTCCAGCCAACCACATAACCAGGAGCATGCATTTTAAATGTTAGCTGTTTTCTGCCCTTCAAACACTAAAAGGGACAGAAAAGAACTGTTTTCATCAGAAGTTGCATTCAAATGCATGAAAAATTGCAAGTGACAGCTGTGCAGATTCAGTGGATGTGACGTTTTTGACTTTCTTCAACTTGACAAGTGAATACCTTACATCAGTAATGCTATATGCATAAAACATGGCCTGTATTTTGACATCCATCTTCAGATGCTAACTGAAGAAAATATGGGTATGTTCCTCAAGGAGTAGCAACCATAAAGCAGGCAGAGTACAGGTCACACGATGTTAGGAAAGCTATATTTCATTGCAGAGACTGCAACAAGCAGAAGCATCCTTTTATTTTATCTTATTTAAGGATTCCATTTTCAGCTGTGAAAAGACTCAATCCTTTTGCATGAAACCTTCATTAAGAAATGGCATGCCTGCTTCCTAGGCCTCTTTCACTTTGCTTCCATATTCCATTTTCCCCTAAAGACTTCAAAGCTGGTTCCATCAGCATCTACACTGACAAGTTGATGGGTGCCTAGATACCCTTCTACTGAAGGTCTGCCTCCTCTTCATCTGTGACCCCAAGAAGAGGGTATATTAATATTGACTCGAGAACTTCAGAAATATCACACCTCCTTCTATTTTGCAACTTTTCTGCCTTCACACTGTAGGGGGAGCAGGTAAAATTAACAAAAGTGTAGATTTTCTCCTTTCCTCTCATATAGTTGTAGTAATGACTCAGACTTGATCAGCATTGCTTCCCTCCTTAGGGGCCCAACTATAGGAAAACTATTTTCTGAAGTCCCAGTGTTTTGTAGACTTCTTAAATGAACTTGAAGAGAAGAGAAACCCAGGTGTATTCCATCTGAAGGAATGAGGCATGAAGATGACCTTAGATGTCATATTCCAATCATGGTTAATGAAGCAGTTCTCAATAAAGTTCTAGTCTCAACCCCTTCAATTGTTGGCATCATTTTACATCTCTATATAAAACAACACTGGTGTTCTGTTTGTGTAAGCCAGGACATGTGGCATATACCCCAGGGATGTGTAGTCAGAGACTAGAAAAAACTGGGAAATGCGCCAATATAAGAGGCAACCCTTCATTTTGCCAAAAGAAATCATTAAGAATATCAGTGTTAGAGAGCTAGACTAAGGAACCTCACTCAGATAATGTTCATGGTGAATTTGTGGACTGCCCAAGTTCTTGCTTAGGTTCTTAATTATTTAGTATGTTAACACCATACTCCATAGAGCTAGATATGACTTCCCCAGACTACCTCATCCATCCTAGTCTTCAGTGGCAGTTGTGCCTAGCATACACCTATGTTATCTATACACTGGGCATCAGGCATCACTGCCTTGACTAACACAGTCTTGGGCCAGACATTCTCATTTCATGTGTCATGGGAGAGTATTAGGCCAGAGAATTCACTGTTTATCTGGGCTTCAGGGTTATGTTTAAGAGGCCTGACTCACAGAAAAGAAGTGAAGGGAACTATTGAAGAACATAGTTTTGAAGTTGAAAGTCTTAGGTTCAAATTCTGGTTCTTTATTTCCCCCAACATCTGTTACATTTTTAAAGGCATCTTTACTGCATTATTTTGTTATTTGACTGTTCCACGCATGCATATAATGAATGCTGATTACTCTCCCCAGTGTTGTTTAGTATTTCCATCCTACCCAGCTCCATCCCTTTCTCAGATTCCAGACTTTTGGTTTTCTTTGTTTTTGTGTTTTGTGTTTTTATGACCCATTTAGTTTAACCAAGGGCACCTGTATGGCCACTGGATCGCATTGGAGCGTGGTGGGGTTATCAGGGGTTGTATGACTAAAGACTATGCTTCTCCATTCCATTAAATCTAGCAGAAATGAGCAGTTGGTAGTGAGGGCTAGAGCTCTGAGTCCTTCCTCCATCCACCCTTGACTGTTGATTGGTCCATTCCTGCACAGGTTCAGCACAGGGAGCTGTGGATGCTGTGAACCTGTAACAGCAATGGCTGTGTTATGTAGAAGTGTTATTTCACGTCATTTGTAACAAGTACGGTTTTTCCTCCCGCCGCCTGGTCTTGTCCCGCCGCCGTGCCAGACCCAATTAATACACAGAGACTCTGTATTTGATATAATGCTGTTGGCCTGTTATTTGTTTCTTATCGGCTAGCTCTGCCTTAATTATTAACCCATTTTTGCTGATCTATGTATTTTTTTTTTTACCGGGGAGCCGGCCGGCATTCTGCTTTCTCCAGACTCTCCATTTTGGCCCTCCTTTCTACTTCCTCTTCCTCCTTCTCTCCTAGTCCCTCCTATCTTCCTTTCCTATTGGCCAACAGTGCTTTATTCATTAACCAGTATGAGAAACATACAGAATGACATCTCCCATCAACTAAGCTTTACTGGACAGTTCCCCTCTTCCACAGTGTCCCCTAAGATTTAGGGAGGACAACACATGATTTGGGTCATCTTTGTACATATAAGCACAACACAGCCAATATTCTCTCCTGGTCTCTCATTCTTCATCTAAAAGTCAGAAGTATTCCTTACACAGGGAATCTGGACGGCTAAAGTGAAATGTGCCATACCTAGGATGAAGCAAGCACTCAAAAATGAAACAACAGATACTTGTGGAGAGGTCTGGCACCCATCAAGACCCTTTTCTGTGGGTAAAGAACTGAAAAGCATTTGATAGATTTTCTAAAGAAAACTTTGTTATAGAAAACTAATGAGAAGCCAAGAATTATAGTGTTTTTGTTATAAACAGATTAGTTCTGCAATAATGATAATAACAAAAATAACAATAAATAGTAATAACAAGACAGCTGGAAATATTTCAGGAAGGAATCTGGATATTGGGAAGATTGAGGTTTTCCCCAGATTTATAGGAAACTGGTGGCTCATCCTTCACACAGGAAAGGCTCTTAATTCTAAGTAGCAACTGAAGACCCCTTCTAGAACCTTCTCTTTTCTAGAACTAATCTCTGGCCCCTTTAATTAATTAGTTGGAAGTCATCTGCTCCTTGGGCTCCTGAAACTGTATGTTTTATTCTGGCACATGTGTTTTGGACACATTATTCCTGCTGGACTGAACAAACAGATCAGCCTCAGTTGACCTTCTCTGGATACTCCTTGTTTCATTGGCTAAATGAGTGAGGTCTCAGTTGGAGAGAAGAGAGGAAGGTGGAGCATCAGTTCATGAAATGTTCAGAACATTGACTTTAGTGAGGGTGGCTTGGAATGAAAGAATTTGACACAAGCACTTGGATGGTTCCTGCTAGAAGAAAAGACAGGAAACAGTGACATCAAGGTTTTCATTTATTAAAAACTTGTTTGCTGACACACCTAAGGGGACATTGTGGAAGAGTGGGTGGAAAGACTATAAGAGCCAGAGGACCAGGGAGTTTG